TCCGTATTATTTAATTTCCTTAAAGGAAATAATTAAATAAAAGTAAAGGTGCGGAAGGGCAGATGTCTGCTTGCTGTAACTGAAACCAACAGTACTTAATTAACTTACAGCTACTTATTAGCGCATTGCCTTTCTTTAGGAGTCAACCCGTTCCTGCGGAAAATAGGAAACCTGGCCGTTCCGATCATAGAGTTTACAATCGATGACGGCTTGTGGACCATACGCTCATATACGGTGTTTAAAAATTTGGCATTGTCGTTTAGACTGAACGAGGAGTTTGTGGAAGTCACACCTGACGGACGACAAGTTCTGGTATGCATCGAGTCTGAATTTCACCCTCAAAGTTTTTCAGTCACGAGTGATAAGAATAACTGCATATAAATACGTGTACTATTGATTTCTTTACTCGTATACGGTCACGTATCTGGTGAGTCAAAGAATATTTTGGAAAAGTATATCTCACGTGCGGAACATCAAGGCGCCAATATTAGGTTCTTCAGATCAGGCCCGACAGATCGGGATCTAGCCTCATTGCAGTTGTTACACACTGAAGATCACAGCAGGACCCCACGTTTCAGCAAAGATTAAAAACAAATAAAATCTGCTCAAATTAAGTAACAGATAGACAACTGAAACAGTTCACAGCAACAACAAATGATTGGTCCATCTTTATGATGAAGGAAGATCACCATTGCCTACCCTCGATTTCCATGCTATTTGTCCTCACAAGTTTCCGACTTTCTCTTTGAACTCATCGTTAAATCTTAGCTGAAGTATTCCCTTTGGGCTCCTGCAGTACCTTGATTACCAATCCGTCATTGCCGAAGACCATTGATCGATCATCTGACACTCGTGCGATGTGACCTGCCCAAATTCGACTTTTTTAACTGTGAAACTCATACAGCATCCTGCATTCTTCATTCCTTTTCTTTACTACCCAAGTACCGCAACCATAAACAGTGGTTGTCAATAGTATACTTTCATGTAAAGCAGCTTCAAAGGCAATGAATAGTTGATGTGAGACGGAAGAGACAAGGAAGGGAGTCGGCGCTATGAGCGCCGAAGCGCTGGCAGAACGACGGCGCGCGTGAGTACTCGCTCACTTGAGAGGAGAAATAGCAAAAACTGACGACGATAAGACAAAAACGACGAAGAGCATGTGACAGTTTAGCTGACCGGCTTGTCGACCCCCAGATTGACCGACGAGGGAGGAGACTAATGGTAGACGAACGCCGTTGCCGTGCCAACGTTTCCTCAGGCCTACAGTGACTATCGATCTTCGCCGTCGTCGAACACATGGATGAGGTAGAGATCGGCAGCAAACAAATGAACTGGTGCGAATTGGCTAAAAACGGAAGACGTTGCACCCTCTGAACCTGCTTACACGCGATAGTCTCCAAGGTGTGCACTCTCGCCTGCCACCTTCGTGACTCATGGCAATGGCAAGCGGACGGTGACAGTGTGTGACCGATGATTCCAGAACAACTCGTTTCGGAGTATTTTCCGTCCGTCCCTCACCCAGCGATCCTCATTTACTCAAATGGACTTCGCAGGGCCAGAGGATAAGCTGAAAACCGCTAATGTTCTTTGCAGCCGACGGCCACACAGTTTATTTGTCCTGTTGTAGCCGAGAGTGTGTAGCCATTGGAATGTCGATCTTCCTTGTACTCTGACGACTGGGTCATGTCTGGCGCCTTTCTTTTCATGAAGATACTTGGCCTGGCCCTGATCTTCATTTCCACGCCGTCAGCCACGAAGCCTTATTTTAAATGCAGAGCCGACAGCAGCTATGTGGCAAGTATTATGTATACTTTCATGGTTCGTTCCCACAGAGTGGTAACACCGCAATATCTAAATGTTGTGACAATACTGCTTTCTCTGCCAATTACACTTTTGCATTCGATGCTGTTGGTTTTGTCATGATTATCTTTAATCGCTCAGCTAGACTGTCTTAAATAATTGCCTAAAAACGAAGCAATGAAAAACTATCGAATTTTATGTTTCTGCAACCCAGCAAGTAGCACAGTGCTAAGAGATCAGCTTCGAACTACTTAGAGGCTTCTGCGAATTCACAGAGGGAGAAATAATTTCCCTTAATCGCTAATTCCCTTGAGCATGGACCTACTCCACGCTGTTTTGATGCAAACAGCTAAGAAACGTTAACAGATCGCTGAAATGGAAACAACGTGACCCGTGGTGCGATCATACCCTAACAAGGGAGAAATGCGGCTGCGCTGTCTCATGCACTGCTTAAACGTTAACGGTCGGACTGGACTGCTGACCAGCATACTCTTCTGCTAGTTTTACGGATGTGTACGACATAGCCATGCCTTTGCCTTGTCCAAATACAGGATCGAGTAATCACTACCTTTCTATGGTAATTTATTACCAGAATTGCTCGGATGCATTGGGCACAAGAATCGTAATGTGCTTCAGTGTGTGCCACAGCGAAAAGAAGTAGGGTTCGCATACGTACATGGTTTTTTTATGCGGGGGATGACATAATCTATTGGATAGTCACAAACGGGAAGACCACCCATAAAATGTTATTTACGTAGATATTATGCCAAGCTAAATTGGTTATTGAAGGAAGTGTTGTTAACCGGTAACAGATCTCTGTTTATTTTTTGTCATATCGTGTAAAACATGAACCTTCATTATTCATGTCTTAAGCGCATATTTAAAATGAGCACATTAGGACTACATCGTTGTAACGTAACATCCATTGTAATACGGTCACAAACGCACACTGATCTGTTTGATAACTGCAGTGTCATTGAAAAGCATAAAATTTTTAAATTACGCTAATTAAAAATTAAATGTAAACTTAAGACCAAGTAAATTAAATTATAAATTAGAAGTTAGTGTATAAAAAATAGACTTAATTTGAAAAGAAGACTCCAATATGTTTTCTAACAAAAGTTTTGGTTTCTCCAGAACAAAAAATTTGATCACGCTTGCGTGCCATTACCCTGTGCCTCCACTGTCCACTCCTTGGTTTGCCAACCGACTGTAGTTCTGACGCACCTACACTAATCACAATTCACACGCCGTGTTACAAAGGGATAGTCTATTTAACGGTTCCGG